ACCTCCTACTGAAAATATATGCATAAATGATTAAACACACGCTACTCCATCCTCCCCCTTTGCCTTACACCAAAATCAAACTAACTTCGGATAGTGTTTTCGACTGGCGTTCGCTGCCGGCCAAGTCGACCAAATTCAATTTACCCACTCGGATGTGTTGTTCGCCATCAGCTCCAATCTAGAAGAGAACTGAATTGGAAACTGCACTGCTGGAAACTTACTCTAGAGCATTCAATTGTGACAATGAAGATCGCATGTGAACGGGAACTATGCTCGTTCATATTGGTGGCACTGTAGGGGCGATGTGACGTTCTTCTGATCCAGTGCAACTGGACACACTTACCCCACCGAACGATTCTGATAGCCTATATTCATCACTTTTTGAATTTCTCCGATACTTTTGGTCAAAACCGAGGACAAATCCTTTGAAGAGATTGAAAAAAACAGCAAGCAAAACAATCGTGAGCAGGCACTAGCATTCATTGTGCTCTGTGAACAGAAGATAAATCTCATGAAAAGGATGAATTGGTGTTTGTTTTCGGCAGATGTAATCGGATGGTTTGTTATTTTGGAACTAAATATATCAAACTGAGGGACTTTGAAGATGAAAACTCAGTGCATCCTTGACAATGTTGTTGCTTTTAAGTATAGTCTGATCGCTGCTAAACGCAAAGTATACAAAAATTGAGTACGATTGTGTAAGAGGGATGAGGAGTGGGCCTGCCTTGAGGGAAGGGGAAAGAAGGTAATTCCCTATGGCTATGTTTTTACATTTTTAATTGGATAACACAACGAAGTTTTACCTTCAAGGTCTCCAGTTCAATCCTCAGTCGGGTATTAGATTCTTTGTGCACTGCATCTAATAACCAATGATCAGCAAAGTTCCCTTCATTCAACCAAGCAAGGCAGAAACTCACGCTACTTAACATGGAGTTCAGTTCAGTTCAGTTCGTACAACCATTAGCCATGCACTTTCGTGCGCCGGTTTGGGTTGCTGTCTTTTGGTTACCCATTTGGATGAATAATAGGAGTAGAAACGAAAGTTGAAGGTAGAGTCGAACATAAAATGGAGAAGTTCAGTGGTCTAAGTTTGCAAAGAAATTGAGAAGATGCAAGAACACCACTGTTTACGACACCCAGCCATATCACTCAGTGTCTCTAACCATCTGGTTCGACCATCCTGAGGTCCCCATCCAAGGAGCCTAACGGGACCTATGTGACCCGGACTCCTGATTAGGGTTTTCATACCCTCCCAGGTCTTAGCTTGACCACCCTGGGCTTTATTCCACCAACTACCTGCCTCGGCAAACATCGCTCGCCGTGGCAACCTATTTGGTGATATACGTAACACATGCCCAAACCAACGTAATCTATGGATCCATGTCGCTGATGGGGAGAAGTACACCAAATCGGTGACTAGTCGTGGATAATGCGAGTTCAGGCTCAATAAATGAGCGGAGACAAACGAGAAATGGCAGTAGCCGAGCTCATAGTGGATGTCAGCTTGCTAAGCGGTTTCCCTATAAAAAGGTTTGATTACAGTGTCTTAATAAAACAAATTCAACCTGCCAGTATTAAGAACATCATCATTGTTTCTGTCTTAGTTATCTAATCTATTAAAACCTGGTGCTATCGTGTGATTCTTCATTTGGTCGATTAAAGGGTAGAGAGTAAGTCTGAATTTAAGAGGGTAGTAACAGACAGAGTGCAAAAGAAATCTGTGTAGAAAATGAATAGATGCAAGAGCATCACTGTCTGAGACAGGCAGGGCTTCTATCGATTAGTTCGGTCATAAGATCCACGACAAGAAGTCGAATGCAGTCTATGTGACGGAGAGCTCTTGTCCTGGCCCATCCATTCGATAAGAATTTCCGGATCGGGGGGAAGGGCAGATGAACCGAACTGGTGGTCACCAACTTGCCTGGAACGTTTCTGTTTCAGTCGGATCAGCAAGAGCCATTGATGAAAAAGGTTGAACGGCGACGGGGACAAGAACAGTAATACTATTCCTAAAAATCACCATGACTCTAAATTACTCTTTAGCAATGCATAGACACGAAAAAGTTAAAGTAGTTGGGCAAGGTAAAAAAACGTTTAACTTTCTTGCATTCCGTAACAAAATAAATAAATTAAAGAGCAAAAGTTGTATTTGAAAAGAGAAGCCAACATAGCAACATAGCACGGTTTATTTCCTGGACGATTTCGCTGCATCTCAACTGGTGCCCACTGCAGGCAAATGCAATGTTTATATAGGGTTTGGGAATGGATTGCAAAATAAACAACTGTGAATGGGGCAAGTGTCACCAAAGCAAAGCCCAGGTGATGACCAAGTCTTTTTGGTGACAGAATTGGTTTCCATTATTTGATTGCACCCACCTCGGTGATTTTGAGCATTCTGTTATTGTCATTGGTAAAAATCACCGGAAATGCTTTCTCGCGATCCACGAGGTGTTTCGTCATCAACAAATGCTTGTCTATCGATGAGCTGGGTGGTTTGTAAGTACGGTCCTTACCAGTTACAGGCTATGTGGACTTTGGCATGGCGACCTTGTGTTGAACCCAGTTTGGAATGTGTTCTTAGACCCGATTACGTAATTGACTTTCTCTCTCTCTCTGTAAGTGTCTCCATATTGGAATCGATAGATTACGCTTGAGTTGGCTTACAGAGGTGGGCGTTGCATTGTCTAATGCATATTAATACAACATTTCAGGATCACTCTGTGCAACCTTNNNAACCTTGCCGGACACCTGGTTCAAACTCTCACCGATTGCGCCGGGAAACGAATTTCCCTAAATTGGATGGGTGAATACAAATTCTAAGGACAGAAAAAAATAGATTCAGAATGCTTTCACAATGTATCAGAATTCAGAGTCACTTCATGAATCTGCATTGACTGAACGGTCTGCTTGGTGTCGTTCAACTAACTCACTTTGACATAGATCCCACTGTCCGGTTTCTCCTTAATTTCCAAATGTTTGCTTTGATCCCGATGAAGTAAATCTCGAATTTCTTCCTTGTAAATCTCCAAATAACTCGCTCGAACCAAATACTGGGAATCTTTTGATGCCGCGATATGTTCAAATATGTGGTCAAATGAATTTGGCATAACTCCGCGCAATTCCGGATCATCTTTTATGCCTGCAAGCGCCAAACATAGGCTTCGTTTCGTGGGGGCAAGCGTACACGGGAATACCTTGAATAGTGAATGTTTTACCGGTCCCCGTTTGACCATAGGCAAATATAGTTCCATTGAACCCCTCTAACACACTGTTGATCAGGTCACGAAAGGTTTCGTCGTACAGTTCCCGTTGTTTTGAACTAAGACTAGGAATCACAATTGACAAGCTTACTCCTCTCCATAAACCGCATCAAAAGTGAATCTTCGCGGTGCATCTTCAGATCGACCTTTGGGATTACGAACTTCGATCGTGCCGTGAGCACTGTTAATATCGACGCATCTGATCAAGACAGAAATAGGCATAAGTCTGTTGAATGCGATACAAACTTTTCATAACCATCTTGAAGTTCCCGATTATTCATGGGCCGACAACGAATGACAACTTTCACCGATTCCGCTCTCTCCTGCTTTGACTAAAAAAACAGTGCTTTAACACAAAACAAAGATCGTGAACCTACCATGTTCAAAAGTGGGGTAACCAATTTGACTAAAATGATCTATAAGAAGTGTGAATTGAGTTATTGCAAACAGATGGGGAGGAGGCTGAAATGTAAATCCGAAATTCAACGTTCGAACAGATCATTGTGAAATAATGATGAAACAGTTCAGTCGACAAAAGTTAATTTTAGAATGAATCAAACCAATGCTTCGGGGATAGCTCACCGCTACCACAACCAGCATCGACACCAAAAACACTCAAAATCATCCTGAGTGAATTCAAAGAAATCTTCAACGAAGTTATTATTATAGCAAAAGGTTAAGTAGACGCCGAGGAGAAGGGTAACCTTTAATTGCAGAACTGTGGTATTTCTCCGGAATACACTTGACGTATTGGTTTAACCCTGGTATTCAGCACTCATTTTGACTCCAATAGTGAATAACGGCCATACTCTAATACACCGTTCAACAAGAAAACCAAAACAAATTGAGGGGAAGTGCTAAGACGCACAGAAGCGTTCCAGCATCGGGCTTTGTAAGGGTTACGGTTGCATTTTAATGGTTTGGGGGCGTCGTTTTTATGGCACCCTCGTGGTTTTTCCACTGATATCTCAGATGCGATTCAAAACATTACCAACACAATGAAGTCAGTGCATCTAGGTTTAAACCAATTTTATCGAGCTCAGCAATGAAACCGCGAATGGATTGCCACCTGAACCAATCTTGCTGCCAACCTCTGCGCATGGAATGCCACCATCCAAGAGGCCAGCTAATCCTCTAGCAGGAGATAGTTGTTGAAAAGTAAATGCCAACAAGCGTGGTCTGACTACTATCAAGTATTACTACAAAGTAACAAGTTTAATGAAGTCCCCTTCTAACTGACACTAGCTATCTCCAGAACGGTCCATGGTCTGAACGGGACAACTGATGCGAATGGTTGTCTTTTCAGTTGACTTGATTCAGTCTATAATCGGCCTGGAATAAAACCTTTTTTAATGAATACACGCACGAGTTCCCATTTGAAAACCAACAGACATGCTATTTATTCCTACTTCCCATACAGAAGAACACGAGGTAGGAACACCTGAAGAAGTTACACATATTTTACATTCTGTTGCACTCAACTTAGCCGAGGGTCCAGGTATTGTTTGCTTAAAATTTGTTGACCACTGAAACGCTTTCGGACGAATCAATCGAGAGATCCTTATTTGCACGTCTTCATGGGTCTGACCTAAGATCCAGTCTTATTTATGTTTTGGTGGGCTATTTTTCATGTAAAATCCAATTTGCTCTATTTGGTAGCAGAAACTTCACTTCTTTTAACACATACTCTGGTGTTTACTAGAAGGTCATTCTGGTTCCATTTATAATTCCTTGTGTATGCAGAATCTCGCCTTTCTCATGACTTTATCGCCTGAAACTAAACTAATGCTGCAGTGATTGGTTGTCTATCCCCTGGTTCAGACACTCCCATCTGCTTCGAAACAGTTCAACTGAACTCAATGATTGGCCTTTGTCCCACTCTCTCGTGTTTCACATCAGAAAGTGTGCCGGTAGTCCCTTCATTGTCGACACCAGATCCCATCGGCATGCCTTGTTAAGCCATATTACCAATGTTGTTATTCCTATTCGAAGCAGCCTCACAGTGGACTCCGTTGAATATTTTGATATCACCCTAACAGTTGTTTCTGGCCTATTTATGTTGATAGGGTTTCAGGCTGCCTTTTTGTGCATATACTAGCAGGAAAGAAGCTTTAGATCAAAAATTAAACATTTTGTTTACGATCTGAAAAGAGTTATACGTCTAATTCAGGTCCCTCAAACCCCTACCATGGTATAATATTTATAAAAAGATGTTTGTTAGTTAAATCCCTTATTTACCATCACTTTGATACCCGTAAAGGGTCTATCTAAGGTAAAACTCATGACAAAGATTGTTGTCCACATGAACAGGTTATTATAGCTATATCCAGTTGCGTAATACGTTCCGAATTTCCGTTGTTCGCACAGTAACCTATAGCCTTCAATCACTTTTCCTTTACTTTTCGGTGCGCTTCTCTCGGTTGCCCATTCAGTTAACCGATGACCAACGGTGATAGGTAGCTCTGCTATTGCCCTACTAAATACTAAGCCTGATCAACTGAGGCCTCATGTGTTCTCCACTCCAAGTCTCAGGAATATGGCTACTGGTTTCCTTCTGGGAACATGAATATGGCTGTACAATGCAAAGCAAACATGCACTCATCACCAACATTCTTGGACTGAACCGCCACCTTGTACACTAATTTCTCCAACCTTTTCCTCTTGCCCTATTTTTGACAGAAACACAAACCTCCCCCTTGTCGCACACCACTCCTCTCTAAGTCCCCATGTACATTTTCACTCCTCCTTTCTACCCAAAGTGTCTGTATCCACCACTCAATCGCCGCTTCCAGAATACTAAATATATCTTTTACAATCGAAAATTTAAGCTGATATGGCTGCAGATCGGGCTTTCTGCTTTCAATCACTACTTTTGTGTCCTGTATCTTTCACCCAATGGTGGCAACTCTTTCATCTTTGACTTTTATCTTCGAACAATGAACACTTGTTTGCAACCAATCTCAACCGCTGTTACCATCTTGGGAAATTTTAACGTTCATAATCAGGAATGTTTGACACATTCATCTGTTACTTCTTCCTTGAGGCGTGAAGCCAAAATTTTGCTTTGGTCAACAACTTGACCCAACTAGTTAACCTCTCCAAACTTGTCTCTGCTCTAGCTAACGACCGAGCCCACATCCTTGATCTAATCCTCACTTTGGTCTCTTTTTTCTTCTTAGACATGTGTACTCCTCCTCCATTTGATTCGTCAGATCACTGTTTCTTGTGTTCATCATTTTACTAGCCTGATTCGCCACCCAGCTCAGGATAAATTTTGGCGCTTTAACTCAGTCAACTGGGATGGTTTCCGTGATTTCCTAGCTTAGTATCCGCAGAACTATTGTCGTCTCACTTCGAACGTGTCCAAATCTATTCCCAACTTCACCGACATTGTTCTTCAAAGTGTGAATTCTTTTATTTCACACTTTTTCAAACCCCGGGAACCCAAATCCTCCAAGTGGTTTAACCACGCATGTAATCGTACTGTACGCCGGAAACGCTTAGTCTTCCACCGCCTGCACAC